GGTGTGTGGTGGGGGAGGGACACCTAACCCCAGCAGGAGTAGGCGGCTGCAAGATCGGCCTCCCTCGAGGGGAGGTAGTCTGGTTTGAGAAGACCCCACCCCCTTCTCTGGCCCTCAAAGGCTCATTGTACTAAAAGTCTAGTAACCAGACTTCACAGTCTCCCTCCCCAACTCCAAGTGCTCACTCCAGCCCTCTGTTGTTGCTCTGGTCCACCCTCAGCCTCCCTGGTGCCTGCAGCCTACTGAAGCCTTTGTGCAGATATTTGGGAGAAGGAGTCTTTCGAGAAAAAGAAACCTCACGTTAAATTCCAGTAATTTCATACTCTCCCCTAGTAGTTGCTGCTCTCACTTGGTCACTTTATTGAGTTAACGATGTCTCTTGAGAAAGTCTGCTCTAGTCTTATAAAATGGTCTGCGGGTGGCAGGTGGTCCATCTTCATCGGATCGTGCAGATTTAGACTAAAAAAGAGAAATAAACATATTAATGTAGAGGCTCTGCAGGGAAGGTTTCTACTGTCTAGGGCCAAGTGAGGGAGAAAAGAGCTTGGAGTCAAGTGGTGAACATAGACATCAGGGTTAGAAAGGAACTTCTTGGGGGTCAGCAGTGCACGGACCTTCAGTTGGCTGCTTGGACTAGGGGTCTGCTGGGTTCCACCACTCTTGGGGGATCTTGCTGGGAGATTTACAGAGGATTCCATGGCTGCCAGTCTCTTAGCTTCTAGAGTTCTAAGCATCTTTATTCGGCTCCTCTCCAGGAAGTCACATTGTGTGCGCAGGGACTCTAGAAAACAGTAAAAAGCACTGTCACCTCTGAAGAACAAGAGACAGAAGCCATCGTGATCATTCAGTTATCAGTCAGAGTAACTTGGCCGAAGACCGAAATGATGAGAGGGTGATTGGGAAACTGAAAACATGACAATGAAGTGGGGAAGGAGTGACATATATGGCTCACATAATTTCAACTAGATAGCCCCCAAAGTTTACCTAGACCCGTGTCCCCCTTTTCCTTGGCTCCTATGATCCCACCTACTCCACTATGCTAGTCCCATCCCTACATTCATACCTTCCCTTCTCTGACAGAGTCCTCCACACTCAGCCAAGGCTGTCTTTAACTCCAAATCCCCTGGAGAACTGGGGCTTCCAGTGTATGGCACTATGCCCAGCACACAGCTACATGCACCACTTCCTATGCCCTCCCCCATCACATGCCTTACCAACTAGTTCAGGTTCTGGATTCTTCAAGAGGGGTACAACAGCTTTGTAGGAATTCTCAATCTTGGTACCTGTAAACATAGCGTTGTGCTATTTCCAGCCCCTAATACATACCAAGTCTCTGCCTTTTTGAAGCCCAAGATTTCAGAATTCTAACACTAAATATCTTCTTGAGCTGGTGCACTTTTTCCCCTCCCCTTTGGCATAGACCTACATGAACCCTAGGATGAAGTAGGGTGACATGGTATATGTGAACCTAACCTAGTGCCACCAAAGCAATGCCTTTCTTTGAGCTGACTAGGCATGGTCAATTTGGATCTGTTAAGGATGCCCTATTTTACTTACTAATTTGTTTTTTTTGGGGGGGGTTCTTGAGATAGGATCACATAGAGCCCAAGTTGAACTCCTAATGTTCCTGGTTCTACCTTGTGGGTGTTTTCTGAGGTAGTGTCTTGCTATGTAGATGGCCTCCAACTCTCAATCCTCCTTACCTCAGTTTCTAAGAATGTATTTATATTGGGTGGTGGTGGCACACACCTTTAACCCCAGCACTCAGGAGGCAGAGACAGGCATCTCTGTGAGTCTGAAGCCTAGCCTGGTCTACAGAGTGAGTTTCAGAACAGCCAGAGCTGTTACACAGAGAAACCCCACCTTAGAAAAAAAAAGAATGTCTTTATTTATTTTGAGACAGGGTCTTATGCAACCCAGGCTGTCCTCAAAGTTGCTATATAGTTAAAGATGACCTCGAACTTCTGATCCTCCTGTCTCCACCTCCCAATTGCTAGGATTATAGGCAAGCCCCACTACACCCAACTTTATGCAGTGCTGGGGATGGGACCCAGAACTTCATGCATGCTAGGTGAGCACCCTGCCAACTGAGCTACATCCCAGCCCTGCTTTATGTTTGGTGGTGGTGTGTATATGGTGTTTGTGTTTGGAATAAGATCTTGCTATGAAGCCCAGGCTGCCTTTGAATTTACAATCCTCTTGCCTCAGTTCCCTGAGTGCTGGGATTACAAGAGAAAGCTGCCTTATGTTAAGGGCAAGTTTCATAATCCATCTTGAGAAACTCCATGGAGTGTACCCCCCAAGCCTCTACCTGGTGCTCCACGTTCCACTTTACAAACATAGTAGATACTTCGAGCTGTAAGGAATTTGCTGGCATAGTCTCCAGGTGTCTTTGACAGGAAAAGTAACTTCATGGTCCCAGTTTCATCACACAAATCAATGGTGTCTAGAGTAATTGGGACAAGTAAGAATAGAGAACAAGCCAAGCAGTGGTGGCTCACACCTTTAATCCCAGCACTGGGGAGGCAGAGGCAGGCAGATCTCTGTGAGTTCCAGGCCAGACTGATCTACAAAGTGAGTTCCAGAACAGCCAAAGATACAGAGAAACCCTGTCTTGAAAAACAAAAACAACAACAAAAGAATAGAGAACATGAGTAAAAAGGGCCACTGGTCTTCTACAGAATGGGTTTGAAGATGGTTCAGGGATATGAGGATAACTCTTCTTGCTGGGAGGAAAGTTTAGTGGTTAGAGGCAGCCCATTGCTTTTGACCTTCAGTCACCCATATGCCTCCCCAAACCACTAACCTGTTTTACGCAACCCCATTTTCTTTTTGGTGTAATGTAACAACAGGAGAACAGAGCAATTGGTGTTGACCAGAAACTCTTGATTATCTGAGAAGAGAAGTGATGAAGGTATGCAAGTCCTTCTCTGGTTCCATCTCCTCTGTGATCTCTGCTGTCCTCAACCCTCCCATGTCCCTGCCCAGACTTGCTCTGTGCTGCCCCTCACCTCCATGTTTGATGAAGATAAACATGCTATCAAGATCATCTCACTCTTCAAAGATCCCTTGATGAATCATGCAGAAAGCAGGTGTTCTAGTGGCCCTGGGGGCCTGAGGGTGCCCATAGGGTTGGATGACCAAAGGGGCAGGTGTATCTCATAAGTTCAAGGAGGCCCAGCCTAGGCAGACAGGAGAGCGCTTTTGGCAGTTGGGGGATGGTCAGAGTCTGTAGGGGTGGGGCCTGAGACTTCAGTTGAAGGATTGTGATGTCAGAAGTGATATAAACAGTAGAAGGTAAAGCCCAAGAGAGAAGACACTGGGTGGGATCTGTAAAAGAGCTCGTAGGAATTGGGACAGCACAGCAAGTACGACTAAATGGCCCCTGGAATGAGCACAGAAATTTACCAGAGCAAAGTGAGTTACCGGAACAGTTAATTTGTAGGGCTCTTGATTCTGCAGTGTGACTGTACTGCCCCTTTTTCCTACCTTCACACCAGTCCTCCCAACTCCATGTTTCCCCTGCTTCCCAACCCCACAACAGATATTCTTGATCATCATTGGTAGAAACTTTATTTCTCGTTGATTCAGGAACAATTGAATGGTAGGTGGGGAAAGGGAGGGAGGATCCTGTAAAAGAGAAGGACCATGCCAATAACCCAAACACTCTGGAGGCTGAGGCAGGAGGATTGCCTGTGTGTTATAGGCCAACCTAGCCTACACAGCGAGTTCCTAGCCACCCAGGGCTACAGGGTAAGACTGTCTCCAAAAGCAGGGGAAGGTGCCAGACTTGGGGGTGAGGGTGGGGCTTGCGCAGGGAAAAGGGGCAAGGGGCATTTCTCAAGTAGGGCATATTGAATGAAGGAGCAGTTACATGGATCGTGAAATTGAAAATTAGGGGGGGGGGGGGGGGGGGGAATGGGCATTGGATCCAGATTGTCAAGATGAGCAGGGGGAAGTTAGCGTCTCTTAGAGATATAGGACCCTAAGTTTCCATCAAGGGATTGAGGCTCAGGCTTCAAGCATCAGGTTTCAGAGAATAACATGGGGGAGGCCAGTAGGGGGTATGCAGACTGCAAGGAGAACCTCCTGGCCCCTCTCCTAGGGCCCCTCCTTTGGGAGGAATCTCACTGACGTGGCAGAACCGTTCGCTGTAGTCTGGCTGCAGACTCTCAGTCAGCCCTTTAGACACACCACTCCAGGCCTAAAGACAGATATCTCCAGGTCAGAGGTCAACGAGGGGCAGGAAGCAAAAAGACTCAGGCTCCGGCCAAAGGAGCTCTCACAACTCTGTAACTATTGTGATTACAGAAGGGTTACCAGGCTCCAGGGCCCCTAATACCACAGTTTCCATCTGCATCACACAATCTCTTTTGCTCTGTCTCTCTGCCTAGCCCACCCTCCATTCGGTCAGCCACATCCTGGTGGTGTAGGCCCCCTCCTCCCTCCACCCTGCCCCCCTCACAGTCTGTCTTGCTAGCTGGCAGTTGGCAGTTGATCGACTGCAATATGTGTATGGCAGTGTTCTCACCGAAAAGTTCCCGTGGTATTCAGTAACCAGATCCTCTAGATTCTTGATGGTGGGAATTCGAGGCATTGCTCTGAAGCAGAGAGAAAGAGGGGAGCAGAAGCATTAAACTAAAGCTCCTTTATTACCCTTCATCCAACTGACCAGTGTGGAACCTATAGCTTCCTTTCAACACCCTCATCCTAGCTCTTGATGATCTACCACTGGAGATCCTGAAATAACCCTGCTACCCCCACCGCATTTTAAGGGCTTCCTGAAATCTCACCGTTCCAGCCAACAATACACAAAAATCAGGGTAATAATCAATCCCATGAAGCCAACTGGGATGAGCACAGCTTCCAGTGCAAACACAGAAAGAGTCTCTGGAGAAAAAAGGAAAGGAAAATGAGCCCTGCATTTATGACACTCATAAGACATGGATGCCAGGCACCATGCCAAACACACTCCTTATGCTTACTTTCCACACAGCTCCTGAGAGGGAGGAACAGTGTTTATCTACATTTTACAGATGAATAAACCAAATCAAAGAGGTCAGCCCAGATCCAAGGTCATCTCTACTATGCAGACTCTATGGAATGTTGTAGAGACCTCCTACACATTCCATATTCTCCTTGAGTACCCTTTGGCCTCCTTGGGGAGCCACTCTCCTATTCTGTCTGCACCCCTTCTCATCCTACATAGAAAACCCTGCTTCTTAGTGATTGAATTTTAACAGTGGGTGGTGGTAGAGGCTTGGGGATAGAGAGATAAAGCAAACAGTGATGGTAGTGTGTTACAAAGGTTGGGGTACTGGGTTCATGATTTAGGGGTCATATATTTAGGGCACTTTACCCTTTGTAGTATGACTGCCCCAGTGAATAGGTTGGCTCCATTTACTCCAGTGTTGAGCACTTCCACAGAGTGGGTTAAAGCGGCTCCGAACCCGGAACGTGTACAGTTTCTGCCCATCCACACTAGGCAGGGTGAATCTAGGGTTCTGATCCACTATTTGTTCCTGGGGAGAAGGGTGAGGGAAAAATGGTTATCTTTAAAGGAAGAGAGAATGGAAACATTCTTGCCTATACCTGAATGTCATTTTCTGATTCTTCCAATTTTTGGTTCTTTCCCATTCCGGGAAAACAAAACAAGAAACCGGTTCTGGTTCCTCCCAGTTCTACTTCTCTCCTTTCCTGGCTACTCACAACGCACTGCTCCCTTCTCTAACTTGACTCAGAAGTGGATCTCTCCTCCAGATCCACTCACTGTCTTACTTCATGTCTGCATCAGGAAGAGGATGGGTGAGAGAGCCAGAATGAAAGCTCACTGGGGATGATAAAAATAAAAGAAATGAAAGTATGGACAGAGGAGCTGGGAGGCAGAGACCTGGGGCTTGGTATTAGGTCCTTCTATCTGGCTAGTTGAATCCTTTCTTCTCTCTTGCTTGGCGTTAGTTACTGCATTCATTCCCCGAGTCACTCACCGTCCAGCTTCGATCTCTGTCGCTCCGGTACTGCACCAAGTGTTGCAAACAGTGTTCTGCGTATCTGCTTTTCCAGCTCAGCTCTAGCTGGGATTCAGTCCGGTTGTAAACTGTTAGATTCTCCGGAGCCCATGGGATCACTGGAGATATGTGTGCGTGTGGTTATTGCCCTGGCTTAGACAAGTCAGGATCTTGGAGGTAATTCCCCTTATTCCTCCTCCCTTCCCCATTCCAAGCCCCTGTCTTCTCCCTTCTGCTCATGACCAACAGGAAGGAAAGAAAAAGCTTTAATGTCCAGTGCCCTCAAGCTCCCTGACCTCTTGGTCACTTCTTTTCTGATTACCAAGGTTCTGTAGGTTTAGCTTCTGTTCAGCCTGCCTCTGGGGTCTCTGGGGGTCCCGGAGCTGGATGACAAATGTCTGGTAGAGCTGGATCTCCTCTTTTTGAATCTGACATCCAGAAGTAATCGCTTCTGAGAACAAATAGTGGCCACACTCCCGGAATTTATTATCAGATCTCTGGTACCTAGAGAACGGTTACAAGGAAGAATGATGGGGCAAACATGGGTACTGCATATGCCTATGACCTGGCTTCATCTCATCTGAACTGACAACTTATCCCATGAGAAACAAGTAGGGTGCCTGAGAAGCTGGCTACCCTCTTCTTTGATTCCCATGCAGTCTGTCTCAGCTAGTCCACCTTCTTTTCTTTCTTGTGCTACTACCCACTCTCCCTTCTCATACCTATAGTGCAGAGTCAGGTTGGTCGGCTGGGGCTCAGAACTGCTATTCCAAGTGCAATTCATGTACTCGACATTGAACACAAAACATTGAACCTCTGGGAGGGGCAGAGTAGGAACACTGATGTGTCCATGGAAGAAATCTAAGTTTGAGAACAAAATGAAATAGTGGAGTGAAAGAAAATAAATCTTGGTCAGAAGCAGCAGAGTGAGACAGAGAGCCCTTCCCTGTGCCCTCCCCACTCTACTCTTTCGAGTCATTATAATGGCCACTATCAGGCTCCAGATTTCTTCCATACAGCCCTTTCCCCATTGCCTTTCTCCTCTCAACAACCCCCTCTGGTCCTAGATTTCCTACCAGCTTTGGTGTCTTCATTCCCACTGGGCATGAGAACCTTGGAGCTGCACCCTACCCCTAGCAGGAGCAGCTGAAGGAGTACGAAGGATCTAGATGGCAATAATGGTTTCAACATGGCGCTTGCTCTTCTTTCTCTGGGTGTAGTCTGTGTCAGAACCTGAACCACTCTCCTATAACCCCTCCCCACCCATACATTTCCTTTTGTCGTAGCTTCCGGTGGAAAGAACCTTAGAAACCACGGCAGTAGAGGGGGGTTGGTAAATGGGTTCAGTGACATAGGCTAAGTCCTCTGGGAGATTGGGTTCTGCTGTAAGGTGATGTTAGGTCATGATTAATAGTTGATCAACAACAGTGTCACAGAATCAAGAATCTTCAGGCCACCTAGGTCCAGAAAGGATCTACTGAACACCCACCCCCATCACACACTCTCCTCCCAGTCACCTTCTCTTCTAAGTCATTTTTTAGAGTGTAGGGTCTGAACACCCCCATCCTGTGTTATGATCCTTCCTTGACTAAGTCACCCTTAAACCTCTGTCAAAGTTCTGCAGTCTTGGGAGGATGGAAAATAGTGACTTGATTCATGTGAGCACACATATAGCTGTCTTTCCTCTGACCTAATCTAAACTAGAATAGCCACAGCTAGCTGCTGACGGAGCTTGGTCCCTGTTGACACTGGTGAGAGCTAGCTTCAGGCTCCCCTGCTCCCTGCAAATCTGCTTCTCTTCTTGTCTTCCTTGTCTTGGTTAATAGTATCATCACCTGCCAGACTTGAAACCTCGGGATCCTCCTCATGTCCCCCTTCTCTCTCATGCTGAGAATCCAATCAGCCCTGTTTCTGTGGTATTTCTCCCAGAAGTTTCCTCTTTTCTGTTACCACAGCCACTGTGTTAAATCAACCTCTCATTACCTTTAGTCATGATTATTCCTGGAACCCACAAACTGGTCCCCTTTC